TAATTTTGTCATCTGGATTTCTTGAGGACTGAATTTTCCTGATTCTTTTGCAAATGTTTTATTGCTGCCCTTTTTCGTGATAATTGCATGTGATAGTGATTTCCTCAGAACAGTATGGCAGTCGTATTTCCCTAATTAGAGCTTATGCAAAGTCAATATTTTAAATGCATTTCTATTAATTTATTTATATACTTAGCTGCTAATTTATCATGAGTACAACTAGATAAACATTTCTTCCTTTACCTAGTCAGGCAGCTCCTCTTCCTCCCCATTGTAAGAAGGTTTTCAGGATGTCTCAGGCAATGTTTAAAAATAATTATTTGAATTGGGAGCTTCTCTTATCTTTGTCAAAATGTTTCACATGGAAACATTACCAGTAGAAAGTGCACTTGTATGTGTGCGAATGATGTAGCACTTCCTTGACTTTGTTCCCCACTTACAAATTGAACACACACATACAAACTTCTCACATTTGATTGCATACATATTATATACAGTAGCTATGTTATCTGTATTACTTTTCTGAATTGAAATGGAGGGCTGGTGCTACAGATCTGCAAGATACAAATGGGTTAGCAAGGGGCTTCCAAAATGAGATTGTGCAGCTAGCTTCTGTTCTTTCCTTGCCAAAGAATGAGACGCTTCCTTGTCTCACCTCCCAATGGAAACTGAGGCGGATTATTTATAGGGATTCCCTCAGAGACTCCACAGGCACCTGCTTCCTAAACCCTGGAAGGTTCATAGGAGAACAACAGTATTTCACAAAGGGCTGCATTGGTGACGTTACCCAATTGACTCTGTTCTCCACATCAACAGCAACATGTGGGTGAACAATGAGAGGTTTGCACAGCAGCTGGAATTAAGAAACAAAAACAAAACCCTAACTTGTAAATTAAGATGGCATGTGAAAAGAGACCACCATCTCCTTTTTTATGGCATCTTCCTGTGCCTCAGAATTTTCAGCTGGATCCACAATAGGGTTGCTGTCTTCCCCCTCCTCTGACAGATGTTTCTGTGCTTCATACAGCTGTATCTGGTTGAAGTTCAGCAACTGTAACTTTCCCCAGCATAGCAGTTCGTTGACAGAAAAAGGGGGGCACCTGCTGAATGTCTGCCATTCATGCAACTCTTAAAAGCACAGAGATGTTGAAAAAAGAGATAAGAACCTAATTTCACTGTATGACACTGTGTGCCAGAGCATGGGAAGTGAGTCTTTGGACTACAGCTCCTAGCATCCCCTAACCTGCATGGTCACTGAGAGGTGTAGTCCAGAAGCGATGCTTCTAGAGTGGTTACAAATCAGAAAAAAATGGTGATTCATTTTCATTCATGATTCATCAAGGCCAATGAATCACAAATAACAAATTGCTGATGAATTGAATAATCAATTTGTTGATTCATTTTTGCCTTTTAAACCCTACAAAATGGCCCCCAAAGCATCTAGAGATACCAAAATAAAAAATAAGCTTTCTCCGGCTCCCTTCTACAGGTGCTCCGAGTTTGGTGAAAATTGGATTTCAGAAATCTGGGACATACACCCACAAAGTGGGTCCCCCCAGGAAAGTGCCCCTTAGCAGCTGGCTTGGGGGGACCGAAACTTCACCAAACATAGCAGGATTGTAGAGGAGAATCAGGGGGAGCTCCTCTGCAATGTTGGTGTCCCTAGGTATCTGGGGGACCATTTTATAACTCAACAAATCAACAAAGCAAAAGTCATTAAAATTCTTTGGTTTTTATTCATCAGGGGCATTGATTTGCATAAATATGAACTGACAAATTAGTGATTTTTTAAAGTGAATTTGGTGGTTCATTGTTTAATTTGTGGACATCTCTAGGTGCTTCCCATCTCTAAGCTGTACCTGTTTAAGTTGCGTTCTCTGCGTCCCCACTTTGTGCACTGCTGTACAAAAGTACTGCACAGAAGTATATTCTGCAAGCCACCCAGAGTGGGAGGGATATAAATCGAAGAAAGAAAGAAAGAAAGAAAGAAAGAAAGAAAGAAAGAAAGAAAGAAAGAAAGAAAGAAAGAAAGAAAGAAAGAAAGAAAGAAAGAAAGAAAGAAAGAAAGAAAGAAAGGAAAGAAAGAAAGAAAGAAAGAAAGAAAGAAAGAAAGAAAGAAAGAAAGAAAGAAAGTTGAAACAAGTGAAACAGCCTTGACTTTCACACCTGTTCTAAACACAAGTTGCATGGAAATCCCATTGGTCTAACCTGAGCCTTTTTAATGCATGTTTAGATTCAGGGTGGCAGATGGTGCTATTAAAAGGCAGTCCTAGACATGTCTGTACAGATGTAAGTCCCACTGACATCACTGAGACTTTCTCCCAAGTCAGTGTGCATCCTATGTGTGTGTGATTTTGTGAGACAGGGCTAGGCAAAGTACAGGCTTCCAGATGTTGCTGGATTACATCTCCCATCAGATTTAGTGGAGGCCATCCGCCAGGAGCTCTCTCCTTTTTTTAGATACAGTGAGTCGAGTAGAGATGTCCAGCACTCCGCCTTGTCCAGTGACTCTTGATCTTTTTCAGCCTGTGATGCCAGACACTGTGGACAAAGCACTTGATCGCTGTCATGCCGGCCACCTCATACCTTGACCCTTGCCCAGCCTGGCTAATCAAAGCAGTCAGGCCTATAACAACAGAATGGGCCACAGCAATAATTAATGGGTCTTTCCTTGGGGGCAGGGTCCCTCCTGCCCTTAAGGAGACACTCATTAGGCCTATAAGGAAGAAACCTAGTTTGGTGGTGGACGAAATTGGCAATTATAGGCCCGTCGCCAATGTTTCTTTCATTAGCAAAGTGGTGGAGAGCGTGGTGGCTGAACAGCTTCAGGCTTATTTGGATGAAACAGATGTGCTAGATCCATTCCAGTTGGGTTTCGGGCCATGTCATGGTACAGAAACGGCATTGGTTGCCCTGTATGATTACCTCAGGGAGGCTGACAGGGGTAAAACCTCCCTCTTGGTCCTCATTGACATCTTGGCGGCCTTCGATACCATCGACCATGGTATTCTCCTAAGGAGGCTCTCTGTGTTGGGAATTGGTGGTCATGTGCTTGCCTGGCTCCGATCCTTCCTCGGGGACTGTCCTCAGAGAGTACAGCTTCGGGAGATGTTATCAGCCCCATGGACCCTCAATTGTGGGGTTCCGCAGGGTTTGATCATCTCCCCAATGCTGTTTAATATCTACATGAGGCCGCTGGGTGGGATCATCAGGGTGTGGGCCATCAGTACGTTGATGACACCCAGCTCTACAATCATCAGGGTGTGGGCCATCAGTACGCTGATGACACCCAGCTCTACATCTCCTTTTCTCCAACTGCAGAGAATGCCATTCTGTCCCTTCAGCACTGCTTGGAGTCTGTACTGCAATGGATGCAGGAAAATGGGCTGAGGCTGAACCCGGACAAGACGGAGGTCCTGATGGTGGGTGGCCCCACCGTCAATGGTTTAGGAAACTCTCTCTCATTTGGGGGGGGTGGCTCTTATCACAAAGAGTGAGGTTCGCAGCTTGGGGATCCATCTGGACCCGGCGCTCACCATGGAAACTCAGGTGGCATCAGTGATCTGTACCGCCTTTTTCATCTTTGGCGGATAGCCCAGCTGCATCCCTATCTTGATTTTGAGGTGCTCACCACCTTGGTACATGTGCTTGTAATCTCGAGATTAGACCACTGTAATGCGCTCTACGTGGGGCTAAATGTATCATCACTATGCTGGAGGTGCAAAAAAGAATAGGGGATGTATTTACATATGTGCTGGTCATGTGAACTAAGAAAGAAAGAATGTCCCCATCAATGGTTTTATTGAATTTGGTTAAGAAGGATCAATTGTTGAAAGAAAATAAGGACTTAACAGTAATAATGACTATCACAGCAAGGTTAATTTTTGCAAGAAACTGGAAAAATGATAACCAACTCAATTTAGAGGAATGGCATAGAGAACTATGGGATATGGTAATTAATGATCAACTGACATGTGATATGAAAATGAGAAGAGGACTATCAAAAAATAATGATTTTAAGAAAATATGGAGTGTATTATTTGAATATGTGTTTTGGAGAGGGAAGGGGCATACACTGAGGGAAGAAACAATAAAGTTTTGGAGAGAAAATGGAGTGAATGAAATTTAAAATATTATTAATGCTAGCCCTGATGGTGATGGTGGCACTGGTGTATTATGTAATTGTATTTTATTGTGTTGTTAGGTGTATGTTGTTTAGGTCGGATGTTTGTTTAATAAATCTATTTTTAAAAAAACCAACAACACAATCTCTGGACAGAACAGGATTAAAAAAGTTTGTTGGGAGGTCTCAACATGTTGAATTTCTGATTATTTCACAGCTGTGAAAAGCACAGCCCTCATACAAAGGAAGAGGTGCTGGCCTGCAAACCAAGGCTAATGCTTATGTTTGTCCATTATGAGGAAAATAAAGCAGCAGTTAAAAACTTTTAGATACATGAGATAAATGCAGGTGAAATCCAGCTGCTAGTCCCAACCAGAGTAGATCTATGAAATGAATGGGACTTGCTATGTGTATGTTTATGACACAGGGTCAGTGGATGTGACATAACTGGTACTAGGGACAGAATTTAACCCAATGCTTGAGTCAGACTTATTATTTTATTAATGTTCAAAATATAAAAAAGGGCTAAGTGGCTGTTCATTGGGCCAATCCATTTGCCATGAAAATAAACCATTGACGAACAGATATATAAATCCTGCACCCCCTAATTACTAGAAGCTTCCAAATGAGGCAATCAAAGAAAGACGTCCCTGCTTCTTTTTGATGTCAGCTATTGGCCCAAAGCCTTTCAATCCACTGGCGGAAACTTGGAGAAATACAGTATTACTCCTCACTCAGCAGTGACGTCTACCACAGTTTGCATGGTGCTACCCATGTGTCTCTACCTTTAAAAGCTGAAGATACACAGCTCACTACAATGAATATTTGCTTACAGGCTAAGTCTTACTAAGTTCAATGGTTCTTTTATTTGCTTCAGAGTCTGTAGATGAGGAAGATTTTGAGGAATCCAATCCAATGCCTTCACCTCGTTCTTCTCAGCCCTGACATGGAGATTGGTGTGGTCTGTGGGAAGAACAGAGAAAACAGGAATTCATGAGAACATCTGGTGCCACATTGTGCCTCTCTCTTCATGGCTTTCCTATGTGGTGAGAATGAATGGCTGCTAGGACTTCTGGACAAAATAGGTTACACAGGAAGTTGTCCCTCCAGGATACATAATTTTCTAGTCAAGTTTCTCAATTATTACACAGTGTCAAGGTCAACAGTTTCAACACTGTCCATTTGCTTGAAGTTTTTTTCCCATCTGCACTGGAAAACTAGATGGGCATTTCCCCCCACCCTTCCAATCACTTTAAGCAACAAATTGCTTTACACAACATATTTTGTGTGTGCTTTTTTAAAAAAAAGTCATCAGTTTAAATCACCATTCAGAAGAGACTGTAATGTTCCTTTTTTATATTAGGATATTATGAACACAACAGTTTATCCTATGTTGTGTTGGCTGTTAAGAATGTACAGGCCTTTGGAAAATAAGTATAAGGTCATGGCCATTTTGTCAATGCATTTTTAATTTTATAGATTGTTATTATCATTTACAGCTGAATATTTGAGTTGACTCCATTAAAACTTGATATGAACATTCCCTGTTGCTTATTATTTACATTATCAAGAAGCATGATGCTGTAAGTCATCAGCTGATGAATGACTGTGTGAATCAGCCCCCCTAACCATACTCCTTCGCCATATGGTCATACCATCATGGATATACAGTATTTTCCCTTTTAATGGTTACCCGTTAAGATCCAAGGATCACTTTAGCTACTGGGAACATAGAAAATGGCCTCATATATACGTTACTGGTGTATATGTTAGGGATGATGAACTTGTCCCCCTCTGCATGTTGTTAGACACCAACTCCTATCACCCTACCCAGCATGCCCAATGGTGGAACATTATTGTGACTGGAGAGCACCGACATCAGGAGCTCCAGATGTTCCCTGCCATTGGTGTTTGTGATTCAGCACTCCCTATTGCAGCCTCTCCAGTGTGTTGCCCTCCAGATTTGCCATCAACAAATCTCATCAACCCAGACACCAATGGTAATGCTGTCTGGGGATTATGGGGATTTGAGTCCAATAACATCTGGATGGCAACAAGAAAGGCTGTCTGCACTAATTAGCTCTCCTGGTCTTGTTGCAGGGCCCCACGTAGAGATGCCTTAGTAGGAACTGTGCTGACTCAGCCTGTAAAGTACTATGTGTCCGGCCCATAAACTACCGCCCTTCATTTCCTATAAGAGTGGAAAACCTGTGATCCTCAAGATTTCAGTGGCTGAGCTCCAGTTTCAATAATCCCTAAGCGTTAACCATACTGGCTTGAAACTGGTGGGTATTGGAGTCCAACAACACCTGGCAGGCTGTAGGTTCTCCACTCCGGCTTTAGCAAACGTTGAAAAAGTGGCTGATGTAAACCTCTCTGCTCTAGAATCCTAGCACCCAGTTTTTTGCAGTTTACTTTCATGCGTGTCTTAAATTGTGCCAGGGGTTATTGTGCAAACTTCTTTCCAATGCAAGGAGTCCCCCACCTCAACTTGAACGTAGTCAGACTGATGGCAGTGACACAGAAAATGCCTCTGGACCTTGACTTTCCCTCAGACACTGTCAACCCTCTTTCCAGCATAGATGGGAATTAGTCTTAGAGCTGCCATTTGAAACTGGACAACACTGTTCGTCTGAGGAGGGATTTGCTTTCCCCCTTGTCAGCTGTACTACCTGCAGTGCAGCCTGGTTGCACACAGGTTTGTTTGGGTTTTTTTTTTTTAAACCGCCTTGTGGGACTCTGGTTGCTGGAAGCAACACATTTTCCTGAACTGTCTCATCTTCCTCATCAACCACAAAGGAAGAATGTGGATCCGAAAGAGAGCAGCAACAGTAGGAGCAAAAGTCATCACTGAGATAGGCCTTATCAGGACCAACCCAAATGCCACAAAGGTGTGCCGGTTTACCCTTCTTTATATACCACTTGTCTTCCTGAAGAACTCTGGACCACCCTCCAGTGCCTCACAATATGGCCATACTGGATGAAATGTTTTGAGAGTGTAGCAGAAAAGTAATTTTCCCCGCCTGTGGCTTGATCGCAGGATATTCGCCAACTGTGGTCATCCTCAGCCCCTCCCAATGAATCTGGTAGCCATCGGGCCTTAGAAGCAGCAGAGAAATTTCTCAAGTTCCGCAATGGGGGAGAAAGATTTTTTCCCCCTGCGCCCTGTTAATACAAAGCCTCGTTACAGCCTCAGCCAGCCAGGCAGGCTTCCGCCGTTCCTTCTGGTCTGTGTGCCGCAGAGGCAACTTCTAAAGGATCGTTGCCCTAGAAACTTGGGTTTCAATCTCCTGCTATATATCAACGAGCTTGTTTTAGCAGTCCCCTGGCTGAATTACAGTTACACAGTTTGGCGCTTCTTTCAAATTTCCTCCCATCACTTGGGCCAAAGAAAGGAATTTTTTTCCTCCTTTAGAAATGAATTGGCTTAATTAGTAAGTAGATTAATGGCAATGGCTGGTGAGTTGGTTTCCAGCAGAGTTTCACCAGAGAGGGTTAATCGGAGTCAGGGCTGGAATCTTTCCCAGAACTGGCTGCCAGCCATTTTCCACCAACCAATCAACCTAGAAACAAATGCTCTCGATGCAATACCTACCGGAGAAAAAGAGCTGATTGGTTTTTATTGGAGGGTCAGCAGCAAAGCAACCCAGAAAAGCGCTACAGGGCCATTCAAGTCACTTTGCCTTGCTTTTTAATCCAAGGATGGCCAGCGGGCGGGCGGACAGATTCGTGGCTAATGAGGACATTTGTCTTTAGCAGGCCGATCAAAAGGGCAACAAAATGAGTGCACCCTTTGGAGATCTCCGGATCTCTTCCTAAGACAAGATGTGACACGTCTTGTAACCTGATAAAGAGATGCTGAGATCACAAACGTTTGCACACATTGTGGTGCCCTTCTAGTTGGCCGGATAACAGCCGCAGACATTGTTACTGAGGCTAACAGGGATACCTCTGTTTCCCGCGCCTCCACCAGGCAAAAAAGGTTTGTAATGTTGAGAAACGGCTAGTTAACAGTGTTCGCTATGGGAAGACGGGCAGCCTCTACTCTCTTAGCACAGAGCACTCCTCCTCGGTTGCTTTTTTTCATTTCTAAAATGGGGTGCAAAATGGTCGGCTGTGAGTACTGAGGGCATCAACAACGTAATTACCCGAAAGCTACTTAGACGTTACATAGTGCCTCTACTGTAGGAGCGTTCTTGCATTCCGCGCACTGGTCTTGATCAAGATTCTTGTTGATTCACACGCTGGTGCACACCACCTGAGGTCTCCCACAGCACTGCGTTATGACTACTAATAGCACAGCTGCAGAGGTGGAAGGGACCCTATGGACCATCCAGTCTAGCCCCTGTCAGGGAGTCCCAATGGAGAATCGAACTCCAGCCTGTGGCTTAGCTCTCAGATACCTAAACCACCCAGCTATCCAGCAGTTCACACTACGTGTGAACTCCCTTTACTGAAAAGCATTGCTTATGAAGCGTCGTCACCTGCTAAAGAAGTACTCTCAGAGTTGACTGATGTTTGGGAGGAACGCTCCAGCCAGGCAAATCATCCTGCCCTACCCACCCCTGCAGGTTCGAGTGAAGAGTTCGTCCGTACGAATTCGAGCTCCGTTCCAGGCATTCTTGTTTATCCATTTACTCTAGAGAAGCCTGGGAAATGGTGGGCAAAGTGTGAGAGTCTACCTGCAAAAAGATATGTTTTTTTTGGGGGGGGAGGGTTGCGGGAGAAGGGTGAGAAGCGTCTTCAGTTGCACACACACCTGGCTGGAGAAATCAACACGTTGCCTCGAGCCAAAGCAATTTTACAGTATAATCAGATTGTTCCAAATTCTGAAAAATAAAGAATGAATGATATTGTAAGATGAACTGAAATTTTATTTTTAAAACCACAGACTGTTCAAAGGGAGAACAAATCCCTGTTTACCCTAAATCTGGAAACACCACAACAAAACGTTTAATAAGAAAGTGCACAACACGAATATGCAACATTCGCTCTTATTTCTTCCCATCGTGATGAAAACGCATTCATAGTTTAAATGGCAGCTGCAAAAAAAGAAAAAAGAAAAAAGAAAGAAAGAAAAAGAATCTCTCAGTCCCCGCTGAGAAATGCATATAATGGGGAAAACAGCGCCTGGATAGAAGTGTAATGAATGCCAGAAAAGGCCAAGACTGTTTCATAGTTTGTCTTTTGAGGATATCAAGACGAGACCTTGTGAAAAATGACGCATGCTTTAGCATTTCAGAAAGCTGGCAACTGGCAGCGTTTCGTCTGCCCACCCCCCACCCCGCCCTCCACCACTTTCTTCTTCTCTCTTTAACTTTCTGCCTCTGAACAAAGGGGTCGGCAGAACTAGCTAGGATGTAATGAGTTCTGTGTCCCGAGCCCATTAAGGGCATCATGGAAACATATTGTATCGAAATAGTTTGGAGGAGAATACTGGGGATGAAAGAGAATGGATGCTTTGATCAACGCCCTGGGGTCCTGAGTGCGCACAGACCGACTTGCAAGGCCTTATTCAGCTCCAGCGAGACACACTTACGAGACCATTCAATGTGATTTGCATATCTGTAATTTATCACATTGGGTACCCCTCCGAACATTCCCCCCCCCTCGCAAGGTAAATAAAAGTTGGGCTGAATAACAAATATCAATCATCTCAGGGCGAAAAAGAGAAGGGGAAAAAGTCGGTGCTCCGAGACAAACATTGGCTGAAGAATCCTAGGAAATAGGCGAAAGAAAACGTTTGGCCCCAGCAAAGGGAAGTTCAAAGAGTCCCTTGTGATACAGGTTCAAGGCTAGTAAAAAAAAAAAGGAGGGGAGGAAACAAGGCTTTTGCCACGTTGCCCTCCACCGCCGTCCTGCCACAAAATCAGGTTTAGGAAACCGACTCGTAAAAAGAAAGGAACGCAAGGCACGTGGAAAGGAAGATGCGGTCCACCAAGGAAAGGTTTAAAAACGAAAGCAGGCACCTTGTGCGTCTCTCCGCCACCTGTGGAGAGCGAGGAACATTTTTATTGCCCTTTATATCTGATTTAATTCGGGGCATTCCTGTTAATTAGTTGGATTCGCTCTTATTGGAGAGCTTTAAGGGAGCAAAGAATCAGTCTTCTCCCCCAGCGCTCTGTCACACACACCCCGGCCGCCCAATCCTAAAGAGATCTCAATAAGAGCGGGCGTTTGGAAGGTTTGTTGTCGTGCACAAGAGGCAAGTTAACAGGCGGGCATTGTGCGGGACTTTAACCAAACTTCAGTTAAACACCAAATAAGAATCTTCAACTTGACCTTGAAGAGAAACTCCGCGCCTCCGGCTAATCTATCAAGCCACCCCCAGTGACAATGATGCATTTCCAAGTATTGTCAGATCATGAAAAGATTGATAAAGTCTCTCCGCTGTACACCCAGACAGACCGCTTCTCTATGGAAGGAGACACGCTGTAAAAAAAAGAAGTGCGTATCCTTGC